ACAACCTCCCGCTTCTACTCTTGCCACTTTATTGAAGCCTACTTCCAGTGATAACAAACTAAGCAGTAAGTCTTATCCTCTTGTTTTCTTTACGTTTCTCACTAAGATGTGTTTAGCCAGTGGTATGGTACCGCTTGCAACTTCGACACCAGGTTTCAAATTAGGAGAGGTACGCGACCTTTTCTTCCATTTTATTTTGTAGACCGTAAAATTCGTATGTAGAGCACTCTAAAGCCATCTGGGTCGTTATTTGGCAATCAGCCTACAAGTACAGCCACGGTAACAACGACACAACCATCTGTCACAAAGCAATCGGATACAAATGCTTCGGCAGCTAAACCGTTGTTTGCTGGATTGTGTGAGTGTGCAAACCATTTTTTCTTATGTTTAGCAGCGTATAGTATTCTATTGTTATTTTGTCATTTTTCTTATCGATTCCAGCATCGGCCCCGACTAGTGCTGCCAACCAAACAAAGCCTTTATTTGGTGAGTTGAAATGCCTACTTACGGTTTGGTTCCTGAGTCTAGCAACCTTCCATATTTATTAGGCTCTTTGGGTGCTAATGCGGCTCAAGGCACAGAAAAGAAGGAGGAGAAGAAGCCGTCAACCTTGTTTGGTACCTTAGGTATGATGCAATATTTTATCATAGTATCCATTTCCAAAATGAATGTTTTTAGGAACAGCAGCGGCTAATGAATCCGAAAAGAAAGAAGAAAAGAAGTCGTCTCTGTTTGGAGGCATAGGTAAGTGTTTGCTTCCAAACTTTTTTTGTTAATGGCATAGCTTTTAGGTACTAGCGCTACAGTGAGCAGTACGACTGATAAAAAGGATGACAAACTGACAACACCTGCAGGTCAGGGTGGTTCCGCTTCTACTGCATTTGGCGCTATTGAAAATAAGGAGACTAAACCATCCTCTCTGTTTGGTGGTACACCGTCAGGTAAGGTTTGCAGTTCCAACTCAAAAGCTTTTCTATTCTTAATTTTTGCATAATTCTTTTCGATGATATCCATTACATGAACTGAACTTTAGCCCAGCAGACAACTCCCAAATCAATCTTTGGTGGCGAGAACCTATCAAAACCACTTTCTTTTGCTTCTACACAACCAGCTAAGATCACCGAAACTGCAAGGAAGGAAGAATCAAAAGGTGAGGTTTTTTAGAATTTGGATTAGTAACACAAGATTTATGCGTCAGATGAACAAAGCACTAGCATAACCACGGAACCAAAGCAGCCAGAAGTAAAAACTGATGGTGGTGAGTCATTCATTGCAGTTGCAGATTCCGTTTGAAATTCCCCTAAGAATAA